AGGCTATTTTTTCAGTGTCTTGGTTAACAAACATTTGTTCAGTAAGGTTTTCTTGTAGAGGTAAAATATGCAGGTAGTCATTCTTTTATTTCTTAAGTATTATTTGTCATATCAATGTCTCTGAATGATGTAATTAACACTAAAATGATACTTTGCATTGTTTGACTCTACTAACTTTGAATGTATAGTAAAGTCATACAGGACTCCTACAGATGAGCATGTTGAAATTTTAGAAGTAAGTTTGAATGCCTTAAGACTTTATATGTATACACATATAAAGATGAATACAAATGTATAAGCTATTTACATATATATGATATATATCACTTATGTATATGTAAATAGAGGTTCTTGAGCATCCCGTACTCTCTCCTTTTCCTTCTGGATTATTTGTACATATACTTTTGCTATGGCCTCTCTTACATTATTCTGGACCTCCACAACTGACACTTCTATTTTCTCTCTATCTATAAGCATCATCTTACTTTCCTTTCCTCCTAGTCCAGTTTAGAATCCACAGTCTGTATTTCAATCACATTCTGTCTAAAATTGAAATGCCTCTATCCCTAAGTATTTGTGCCACAATCATCTGACAAAAACCTTAAAGACAGATCAACTGTTCTCTTCTATCTCGAAGGGAACATTGTTGGAGAAGGGAATTAGAACAGATTGATTTTGCTAAAACATTTTGATCCTCAGACTCAAATGGGCTCTTTGTGCTCTCTGGCAACCGTACTGCATTTCATAGGTCAACTCCTTCTCACAATCTCTATCAAAACTAGTTCAGTCCCCACTTAGCCTTCATTCATCTTCAAATTCTTTGAATATTCATTACACACCATGCATTGGACACTATTCCTAGTCCATTGCTTCCCAGTTTCACAGAATAAACAAAGGCTCTTGAAATGGAATTCCTAGGGCTGGGGAAATGGCTCACTAGAGATGAACCCTTGCTATGAAAGCAAAAGGATCTGAGTTCAGATTTCCAGCACCCACACAGAAACCAAACATGACCTCATGTATCTGTAACCAGAGTGCTGGGGAATAGACCCAAACAGGTAACAGCGTGAACTTTACTTGCCAAAAATACTGAGTTTCACATTCAATGAGGGACCCATATCAAGGAACAGAGACAATAATAAAATAACTTTCCAACATTTTCTTCTGGCCTCTAAATGCTCATGCTTGATTGTAACACACACACACACACACACACACACACACACACACACACACAAACTCCCTCAAGTTCTGCCTGAGGTCTAGCTTCCAAAGTGATCTTCCATGTCTTAAAGCAGGAAGAGTCTCTTAACTGTTGAGTCAAAATTGATTCTTCAAAAATGACATTTCCTTGATAAGAAACTATTTTTTTTTCATAAAAGTGGCTGATGACTATAATTCCAAACATAGTTGAAAAAAATCTTTACGTACATAAAGATAAGCAAATATATGAAAGGAAATTTAATTTTATAAAAAGAAAAGCTTAAAATATCAAACATATATATCATTTTAAAACAGTACTTATGTATTGTAATCATGCACTTAATGAAGAGAAAAATTCTACCTGCATTAAACTACTCATAATAGAATTAATCTTGGTTTGCTCTTTCATAGAGAGCATATTCCAGATGCTAAAGTGATTCAAAGAAACCCACAGCCTGATGGCTTTCTTCAATAATTTCTCAATTACTATTTTCAAACTAGAATAAAACCTAATGGAATTCTGGCTTCATTTAAGTACTGCATCATATTGGTCAGAGTTTACTGCACTTTTTGGAATTTTATGTGCAGTATTTAATAATTAAACATGAATTTATGTGTATAATACTAAAATCCCTAATAGTGAAAGTATATTTAAACACACTGTTAGATCCATTTAAGTGATGTAGTGCCTGTATTCACATTTTACATATTAAAATTAGTTCCTTTTTCTGTTTCTGTGACAAAATACCCTGACAAAAGGGAGAAAGGATTTCTTCTGACTCACAGTTTGAGAGCATATCCCATGACAGCAGGGAAGTCAAGGCAGCAGGATCTGAAGGCAGCTGCTTAACTGCCACCTTATCAATTGACTCCTCCCTGTCAAAACTATATTTTGACACCCTATATTTTCAACAATCAAGAGGCTAAGGAAGAAGAATTATGTATTTCAGGACAACATGGGCTACATAGCTATTTATAGGCTAGCCTGTGACCATAAGGAGACTCTGCCTCAATAATAATAGTAATAATAATAATAATAATAAATAAGCATTTAGAAAAGCTTTTGCAAGGATGGTGAGATGTTTCCGCTGGTATATAGACTTACTGTCAAGCCTAATAATAATAGCAGTTATAGAAAACTACTAGTAGTAAAATAATCTATAATAGATGTCCCCTCTTCTAATTCAACAAAGAATTATAGTTAAGGCAAAATGCTGGTTAAATAGGGCTCATAGAAATATTGTTTAAACGTTTTTAATGTTTTCCCATGAGCGGAGTCCTCTATAAGACATGCTGACACTGCAATCTGTTTGAGTTCCATTTCCAGTTTCTTTAGTGTAGAAAATAATTATCAGGAAACATGGGAAGCATTCTGACCTCAGACTCCTGACTTCTGAGTGCTGTTTCCTAATTTTTGGCTGAAGCCTCATGTACACTTACCTAGGTGACAATAGTTACTTTTCTTTTTTTTTTTTTAATGAAGAAACTTTTCAGAGTATTTAGTCTTGTCTTTCAAGAAAGAGTAGCTGTTTTTTTCCTATTAAAGTGAATACTGTTTTGATTTTGGAAATAACTAAATTTTCATAATATTGATGAAAACATGTTTGCAGATATACATATAAAATACAGCTGTGGTGTACATGCAACTAACATCTGAATTAATGAGAGAAGAGCCACCCATGCTTTTTCACATACTTGTTGATCACTTTAGGGAACTTTAGTACCATTGATACAAAGGAGGGAAGAATTCTGGAACTTACCTTTTAATTCTTTTCGACTCCAAAACAGTGATACAGCATTATACTTAAGGTTTGGAAAGAGACAGCAATAATTAAACTATTAGAATAAAAGCATTGGAACTTGCCTACTACAAATTGAAACTGCAATATAAGTATGAAAGAACTTAGAGAATGTCTCACTGTCAACAGAAAGATATTCAACCACCTTGTCATTTTCAAATTAAACCTTACACGTTTCTTAGTGCTTGTTAGAAATGAATGTAGTTTAGAAGGAGTATCCGGAGTAAGAGGATCAATCCTCACTTAGAAAGACAAAGGGGAAGGACATTGGAAGAAGGAAAAAACAAAAAAGAGGACAGGGACCTACCACTGAAGGCCTCTGAAAGACTACCCAGCAGGGTATCAAAGAAAATGCTGAGACTCATAACCAAACTTTGTGCAGAGTGCAAGAAATCTTATGAAAGAAGGGGGAGTTAGTAAGGCCTGGAGAGAACAGGAGCTCCACAGGGAGAGCAACAGAACCAAAATATCTGGGCTCAGGGGTCTTTTCTGAGACTGATACTCCAACCAAGATACATTCATGGAGTTAACCTAGAACCCCAGTTCAGAGGTAGCCCACGGCAACTCAGTCTCCAAGTGGGCTTCCTAGTAAGGTGAAGAGGGACGGTCTCTGACATGAAATCAGTGGCTGGTTATTTGACACCCCTTCCTCCCGAGGGAGGAGCAGCTTTGCTAGGACACAGAGGAGGACATTGCAACCAGTCCTTATGAGACCTGATAAGCTAGGGTCAGATGGAAGGGGAGGTGGACCTCCCCTATCAGTGAACTTGGAGAAGGGCATGGGAAGAGATAAGGGAGGTAGGGTGGAATTTGGGAGGAATGAGGGAGGAGGCTACAACTGGGATGCAAAACGAATAAAATGTATTTAGTGTAAAAAATTTTTATTAAAAAAAAAAAAGAAATGGTAAACTAAAAGAACCTGGTTGCACTTCATAGACATCATTATTCTTGCCCAGGTTTTCACACTGATATTTCAGAAGTCTGTTTTATTTTTTAACCTTACTATTGTACAAATTAAAACAATTAAGAATATTTTACTTGGAGAGATACAAATATCTATATACAGGTGTTAATAGCTTTTCTATCTGAGCATATAGTACAGATTCTTTTAAGAAATATATTTCTTCGTATGGGAACTGAACAATTTTATCTTAGAAACTCATGAAAACATTTTCAGTGTGATTTCAAGTTCATTACACCAATACAATATTTAATAAATGTATATTGCAATAGCTTTATATTTTTATGTAACATCAAATTTTATATATTTTATGTAACAAATACCATAAAAATTACACTGTGAAAGTATAAAATTCAGTACTGTTTATCTTGTTCTTGGGGTGGTAAATTCACACTAATACAGTGAGACTTTCACCACTCCAAAGGAAGCCATGTGTTTTTAATATATATTTTTTTCTTTTTCTTTATTATTCTCTCATACAATACATCCCAATTTCAGCCTCTTCTATGTCCCCTCCACAGTCCACCTCACCTCTCCTCTGGATTTACTGCTCCTGTTTCTCTTAATGACGACTCATAATTGATTGATTAATTAATTAATTAATTAATTAATTAATTAATTAATTCACTTTTCATCCTGATTATAACCCCTCACTTCTCTCCTCCGGGTCCCACTCTCCCTATTCCCCATAATATCCCTTCCCTACTCCCCAGAAAAGTGGAACACCCTCCCAACCCACACCAGCACATCAAATCCATTCAGGACTGAGTGCACCATCTTTTCCGGTGGCTGAAGGGCTGGGTATGGTGGCACTTACCATTGATCTTAGTGATTGAGAGACAAAAGCAGGTGGATCTCTGTGATTCCTGTCTATATACTGAGTTTTGGCTTTTAAGCATGTGAAAACTTTTGGCTCATAGAGTGAACATCACTGGCATTATACCCAAAAAGTGTATGGTGACTTGCATACACTTGCAAGTTCCAACATGTGTATATTTTTTTGTTTTAAAATTTTTCATCTTCTAATTCACTCATAGGCACTTCGGGAAGAAATTGCACCTCTTAAAGAGAACGTCAATCATATCAATGGCCTTGCTCACCAGCTGACCACACTGGGCATTCAGCTATCACCATATAACCTCAGTACTCTAGAAGATCTGCATAACAGATGGAAGCTTCTGCAGGTAGGCCTGCAGTGAGCAATGTCGCTCCTGTGTTTTGTTTTTTTGTTGTTGTTGTTGTTGTTGCTGTTGTTTTTACTAGAAAAATGGCATACATAAAGCTTGTTTGTAAAGAACAATAAAAATTATTCATTTTTTAAGGTATGATATTATATACAATTTTAATTTCAGCACCTGCACAGACAGATCCAGGTGGATCTCTGTGGATTTCTGTACAGCATGTTCTACATAGTGAGTTCCAGGCTAGCCACAACTATATAGTGTGACCTTGTTTCAAATGAGTATTCATTTGATGTTCATAACAATAAGATGCTTTTTATATCTTGATAACTCCTTATGTTACTAAACAGTTTTAGAAGTTTCCAAAAGCTAGCTTTCATTATGTCTTGCAGTCGCATAAAACATATTGGTGAACCGCAATGGGGAAAATGAATCATTAGCAGACAATTCATTTGTGTTGTTTTTGCTTGGATTATGAAAACATCTTTTCCTTTGCAATTCTAACTGAAACAAGAGTCAATAGTATGGTATAAAATTACCTGACGAACAAGTATTGTATTATAAATCACACAGAGAAGTTTTTCTCAGGGTTTTATAGCAGACATAGGGAATAGGTATGTTTTATTTACTTTCTGTGGCACCTTGGACGATTTATTGAACCTATTTGTGATAATAGAATTCTCTACAATGTTTCTCTTTTGTTGGAATGAGTAAGTCACAATAAGTATTATAATAAGTCCTAGGAAAAGAATTTTCTCTACAGTACCTTGTATATTCTAGTTCATGATGTTATTGCAATTATCACCATGATGATACTACATGGGCATGGGACTCTGACTCTGACCTGTGTGTCCTTAATGCCATTTAACCTCTATGGTTGCCAGTACCTTCATCTCCAACATAGTTACTAAAATGTTGAATAAGCTTATTCACATAGTTTTAAAAATAGCATTTGGGTTACAAAAAAACAAAAACAAAAAACAAGAACAACAACAAAAAACAAACACAGAAACAGATGTTGTAGTAGTGTAGTAGTAGTTCAGCATTGTTAAAATCTTATCAGTTTCATTTTAAAATAATTATTTTTAATTTAAAGCACAAATAACTAAAATAATGAATGTCCAAAGGCAACTAATGTTAACATTTACTCCATTCACTCATTCTTGGATTGCATTTTCAATTTTCTTGTAAAATGTTGAGTGCTATATTTGTGTTTCAGAATGTAGGACAAGACTGGTGATAACTACATGTAAATTTATGACTGAGATCAAAAGACTATGAATGATAGTCTAAAATTCTTAAGAATCAATGCTATGTAGTCCAGACATAATGGTAGAGACATTTAATCCCAGCACGTGAGACAGATATCTGTGAATTCAAGGCCAATCAGGAACACATAGTGAGTTTCCAGACAGCTGGAGCTACATACTGAAACAGCCTCAAAAATAAAAAAAAATAAACAAACAAATAATCAATGCTATGTATAGTTGTGGATGTAACTCAGTGTTAGCACGTTTAACCAGAAATGTAACTCAGTGTTACCACGTTTAACCAGAATGTTCCAGGTCCTTGTTTATAGCCACAGCACTACAAAGAAATCTTATATAGTCCATTCTACTTATACTGTTTGTATGTTTGTTTTTCTTTCTTTCTTTCTTTCTTTCTTTCTTTCTTTCTTTCTTTCTTTCCTTGTAAGACATGAGAAAATATTAATGGCTTAATTTTCACACAAGAACTTGATTGTAAGTACATGCAAATATATGAAAAGAAATGGAGGGCTGTAGCAAAAGAAGAGGCAGTCAATACTGGGTTAATATGTTATCTCTCAGCTACAATTCTTATTTTTAAAACGAAACAATTCAATTTATGTAAAGCTACATCCAGTTCATTTCTATGATATTGTATCTGGGAATTAGAAAGAGGTACATGTGTCAAAATTTAATTTAGAACCCATGATGATGTTTCTTCTATTTATATCATAATACTGATATGACTAGTTAAAATTACGTTGCTTCTTCCTAACTCCAAACCTTTTACCCAGAGGTCATATAGACAAAGCTTTCTCACATTAAACAATTTAATCACTGTTTGGCTCATGCTTCTCTTGTGTATAACAAATTTCATGTTTCTACTTTTTAGCATAACCTTAAAGATATGTGAAGAAGTATTTTTAGCAGAAAGCTGATGAGCCCAAGATTTTTGTTAGCACATAACTGGGTCAATTCTATTACATACTTTATTTTTGCCATAATTCTAACCATTCTGCAACATAATCCTAGCTAGTTATAAATGTGAGTCATTATTCAGAAAATGAACAGGGTAAATAAAGAAAACTATATCCATGTTAATGAAACTTCATGTTACTACACTCTCTGATATTCCTAAGAATCACAATCTCTGTTGATTGTTGCCAGGGTATGTGTCCAATTCTTATACCTTTAGAGATATCATGCCATGTTGGCCATTGCTATGGTTCATATTTGTCATAGCTGAGTAGGACTTTGGTTGCTTCCCTTTTTAAGAAGTTGCAGGACAACTTTTGGCACGAAAAAATCTTGTCCCTGGGGTGTTGGGGGAGGCAGGATGTTCAGGTCAGTCCCGAATCAGGATCTCTGTGTCTTATGTCCAAGAACATTTATCTTCCCCACGGATTCCAAATCCTTGAGATGATATACATAAAAGTAGCATTACAGGGGTGGAGAATATTGTGTGTGTTTATTTATTTAGGAATATCTGTGTGTGTATTGGAATATGTGTGTATGTGTGTATGTATTACAAAAAGAGGACATAAATTTTGAAAGAGAACAAGATGAGTTTGAATTGGAGTAATTGAAGGGAGGAAATGGTGAAATAATATAACTACATTAAATTTTTAAAAATGGAAAATATTAAAAATTAATAAAACTATACTAAATATTGTAAAACCAGAAAATAAAATAAAATAAAACTATAATACATATTGCAAAATCAGATATTTATATCAACAAATTCATTCTGTTAAGGAATGAATGAATCAGTTATCATATGCACATTCTACATTTGGTAGAATATGTATTTAGAAGAAACTAGGTCATTTGCCATTTTCTGTGCTAAGAAGCTTACATTCACCATCATGAAAGAACTTAGTCAAATATAGTGCTATATCTGTTGACAAATATCACATTAAAAACTATGGATAAATTCACATTTCTTTTTCTCAAAGCAAAGAAAAGTTGAAAAACAAAGTTGAAGTAATACAAAGGGAGATACAAAAGTGAAAAAAATAAAAACATTCCTATATTTGGGGAAAATAATATAAGAAAACAAATAGAGGTGCATGTTGTCAGATTTACAGATTAGTTAGACTATCCTGGGTTCAGTTACATGACAAATACATTTTACTTCAAGAAAAAGCCATAGTTATATTTTAGCTGTATCAGTGAAAATAATTGAAACACATAAGCAAGATAGGTGTAACCATTAATAGCAAGGTAAGATCTAGTTAAAATTTACCTTTGCATAAAAATATTGAATAAAAAGGCTTACAAACTTATTTGGAACCCATAAATAAAAGTACAAGACACTATTTTACTTGTTTTAAATGTTCTGTTGGAATAAAATCCTTTTTCCTCCCTCTCAGTGGGCACTAGTTTGGATGTTATTACTTGGACCTTTTGCAGAGTGCTTAAAGTCTTGTTTACAACATATTCTCAGAAAATTTCTCAAATATTTTCAGCATTCCCATTATGTAAATATATAATAAGCAAAATAAGCATATATTATTATTAATAAGCATATATTATGATTAATCACTTTCATAAGTAAAAAAATTGAGAACTGAAAACATGGCTTATCCATTATCACATAGAGAGTGAAGTGTCACAAGGTTTGAACTAGGTCTTCAGAACTGTCCAGTCTTACTTCCTAATCTTGTTTAAAGGAAAACAAGGGGATACAAATTGGAAAGGAAGAAGTCAAAGTATCACTATTTGCAGATGATGTGATAGCATAGATGAGTGACCCAAAAAATTCTACCAGGGAACTCCTACAGCTGATAAATACCATCATCCAAGTGGCTGAATACAAAATCAACTCAAAAAATCAGTAGCACTCCTGTATACAAAAGACTAAAGGGCTGAGAAAGAAATTAGGGAAACTACACCCTTCACAACAGCCATTAATAACATAAAGTAATTTGGTGTGACTATAACCAGGCAATTGAAAGGCCTATTTGAAAAAAACAAAAAAACAAAACTCTAAGATTCTGTAGAAAGAAATTGAAGAAAATATCAGAAGATATCCATGCTCATGAATTGGTAGAATTAACATAGTGAAAATGGCCATCCTACAAAAAGCAATCTACAGGTTGAATGCAATTCCCATCAAAATACCAAAACAATACATTACAGAACTTGAAAGAACAATTCTCAATTTCATATGGAAAAAAAAAAAACAGAATTCCTAATACATTCCTGTACAACCACAGATCATCTGTAGGTATCTCCATCCCTGATATCAAGCTGTACTACAGAGTAACAGTAATAAAAACAGCATGGTACTGGTATAAAAACAAAATGGTGGAGCAAAGGAATTGAAGACACAGAAATAAATATACACACTTATGTACACCTGATTTTTGACAAAGAATCCGAAATCAAACAATGGAAAAAAGATGGCATATTAAAAAAAATGGTGCTAGTCTAACTGAATGTCTACATGTAGAAAAATGCAAATAGATACATATTTATCAACCTGCACAAAACTAAAGTCTAAGTGAATCAAAGAACTCAACATAAAACCAGACACACTAAATCACTTACAAGAAAAGGTGGGGAATAGCCTTGAACCAATTGGCACAGGAATAAACTTCCTGAATAGAACACCAACAGCACAGGCTCTAAGAGCAACAATCAATAAATGGGACCTCATGAAAATGAAAAGCTTCTGTAAAGCAAAGAACACCGTCATCAAAACAAAACGACAGCCTACAGATTGGAAAGGGATTTTCACCAAACCTATATCTG